GAAAAAAAAATTGATTTACATCTTAGAACTTAATAACAGATGCCGATGTGATTGTTCAAAACTTATCAAAAATGAAAAAAAATGAACTTGATTTTCTTGTACCTTCAAAACTCAGAAATCGATTTCTTCAATGCCTTTTCGTTCTTGTTCTTCTGAATCTGATTTTCAAAACTCAATTTTTGTTCCTTCAGAATTAGAAATAAAAAAAAATTAAACATATTTCTCCTTGTGATTCCAAACCAGGAAAAAAATAAAAAAAAACCAAAAATTCCTTAATCAGTTAATCCCTACTATCTCCTTCTGATTTCGAAACTACAAGTCCACAACATGAAATCTGAAGCTTCTGATTTCTGAGAAGAGAAAAGTGAAGAACACGGTTTCTGATTTTGGAGAAAGAATGTTCACAGCCTTTAAAATCACTGATTTAATTCCTACCCATGCGTAAGAAGAAATCGAAGCGTTTTTTTCTCTTTTCCAGAAATTTTCTTTTTTCTCGCTCCTTCTTACGTGATGATTGTCGACTGATGCGCTGAATTAACCTAATGTGTTTATTTTCTTAGGGCCAACTTAACATAGGTAACATGAATTGTTATAAAAATTTTGGGCCCTCTGATTTCTTGGGTCCTATTCAAATGCATCTTTTGAACATGTCTTGGGCCGACTCTCTCTCTCTCTCTCTCTCTCTCTCTATATATATATATATATATATATATATATATATATATATATATATATATATATTTATTTATTTTTTCAGCAAACTTGGCCACCCCAACTAATTAAGAGATACATGTAAATGTGAAAATTATATAAACTACTAATTAATTCCATAAAAACAAAAACATGGTCTTTTTTTTAATTATTTAATCAGGAGAATAAACTGGAAAATATCGAAGGAATTAACAAAAAAAACTAGAAAATCAAGGAATGAATCAAAACCACCCTTGGTAAATTTAGGATAGTAATTTATTTTGGAAACTAAGAAAACTATAAACTATTTTGATATGCAACATTTTATTTTTGAAAAAAAATAAATACAAAGCCTAAACTCAAGAAAAATCACCGATGTCAGAGTTCACACTCCGCCGAAACTCCTCAGCAGACCAACGTACTTAAATAGTATGTGCTTTATGTCTCTTATCCCGTCGTTCGACGATCTGCAACTCTGACCAACGATCTTCGTTGCTCACACGCTCTCCAAATCTCTTCTCCACCAGATTAGTAATTTGTAAGATTTTATTTTCTCTCGTTCTCTCACTCTCACTGGAATAGCATGTGATGTGATATGATAGTGGGTAAAAACTTGAAAGACATATGAAACTTTAAAGTACTAAAAAAACTGTTAAAACATTATTACTTTTATTTATTGCTTTCCAATCAACACTTCTTTTTTAAACAAATGAATTTAAAATTTTAAGGTATAGCCTAAGAACTTTAAGTAGGATTAAGGATAGGGGATAATTTGTAAAAAAATATTTATGTTTACTGATTGCCAGTTAACTTTGTTATATGTTAATTGTCACTAATGAATAATTTTAATAAATGTAAAGTGATTTTAATAAAGTCTAAATAATTAGTTGTTCGTCAAAATGCAATTTAACTCTGCTATTTTTTGTTACTTGTAAACTATTAGTTAGTTGTGTTATGCTATAAAACCCTCAATCTCGATACATTTCAAATAAATTGATTGTTAGTTATATTAATTAGTGTTTGTAATTAAAATTATATATGTTGTTATGTTGCATATGTTAATATAAGAGACTAATAGATGAATCATTATTTGTCCCGAAACATTTGAAGTTTTAGCTTCGGCCCCCTAGTTCTAACCGTTGTGTTCCAAAAAACTAATGGAAGCATCGGGAAGGAAGGACTTCTTACACTTCTCCCCTAATAAATAAACATCTTTTTGACATTTGGCAAATTCTTATGCGTTTAGACAAATGGCATTTTCTTGGTTTTTTAATTTTCTAATATTCCACATGTAAATGTCTTAGAATGCCACATGGAATGCATATAAATTGTTCAATAAGACACGTATATGTAATGGTTATGTTTATGTTTCCTCAATTAAGTCCTTATACAGAGCAACAAAGATACGTTTGCCAACTGATTAGCCTTCAATCACGGTGGATTGAAGGATTCGATTTCAAAATCATATCGCTTTCTTTTTAACAAAATCTTCTCTGTGTATGGACTCACAATGTACTTATATGGAATGTTAACTGGATTTCTACTTAGAATCGCATCAATCATGCGTGATCCTTCGTCTTTTACTTATAGCAGGTAATAATTTCCAAAAATTTCTTTCAATTACATCTATATACATAATACATTTATGAGTCGTTTCTTTTCAATTTCGTTTATACATGCACGAGTCGTCTTCTTCACGCATGATTCAACTGTCTTGAAGAATCTGCATTACCATCCCAACAACTACATAAGGTTAGTATTATGCCTATTTATATATGCACGATGCATTTCCTTTTATTTTCAATTATCTTCTTTTTTTTAACACATTGTAACAAAGCCATTTGTAATCAGTCCGCCAACTGTTCGATGTAATGCCAATTTCAATTTCTTTGTTTGAAATATAAAAATATGATTGTAAATAATAGTAAATAGTATTTTGTTACAAGAATTATGAAGATACCTTAGTAACAGCTTCACCAAGTTTTTTACTTGGTGATTTAGCACCACTTTTATCAACAGAAGCAGCTGCATAAGAACCCTTATGTGCTGAAGTACCATTTTTGCCCTCAACATCTACCTTCTTACCGCTTTTTCTTACAGGGGTAGTGGAGTCACTTTCTTTCTGTTATGTATATGCGTTTTGTCATTATTAAATGTATTTCCACATATGATTATATTTGAATATGTATACCAGAATGATTGTAAATATAACTATACAGACACTAAAAATGGGGAAAATGGTCAAAATGGTCATTTTTTTATAGTTCATTTTGTTACAAGAATTATGAAGATACCTTATTAACAGCTTCACCATGTTTTTTACTTGATGATTTAGCACCATGTTTATCACCAGATACAGCTGCAGAAGAACCCTTATGTGCTGAAGTACCATTTTTGCCCTCAACATCTACCTTCTTACCGCTTTTTCTTACAGGGGTAGTGGAGTCACTTTCTTTCTGTTTTTTATTCAAGTCTTCACCATTTGCTTCTTTAGTATTCTTCCGTTTCTTTGGCCCTTCAGAATCAGAAAAATGGTCATTTTTTTAGTTCATTTTGTAGTCCAGTATCTGAACATGTCTCTTTGCATTTATAGGGGCAGATTCGTTATTTTCCATATTTGTAAATAATATTAAATAGTATTTTGTTACAAGAATTATGAAGATACCTTAGTGACAGCGTCACCATGTTTTTTACTTGATGATTTAGCACCATGTTTATCACCAGAAGCAGCTGCAGAAGAACCCTTATGTGCTGAAGTACCATTTTTGCCCTCAACATCTACCTTATTACCGCTTTTTCTTACAGGGGTAGTGGAGTCACTTTCTTTCTGTTTTTTATTCAAGTCTTCACCATTTGCTTCTTTAGTATTCTTCCGTTTCTTTGGCCCTTCAGAATCAGAAAAATGGTCATTTTTTATAGTTCATTTTGTAGTGCGATCTCTGAACATGTCTCCTTGCAGTTATAGGGGCAGAATCGTCATTTTCCATATTTGTTTTCAATATTTCTTCATCTTTTTCAGATACTACAGACTCTTTAACAACTTCAGCTGATGTCACTTCATTCTTACACAATCAATTATCCGGCTTTGGAAACAAACAACTTGGTCGAAACCACATGAGACACGACAAATCGGAATGATTTTAATGGATGAAGAGGTATTTAAACTTAATTGCTTTAAACATATTTAATGATTTCAACTTATCATATTATTAGTTATACACTATTATGTTAATCATATAGTTGTTTATGTCTTATTTATTTAATCGTTTTTTTTAAGGGCAATAAAATTGAATGCACTGTGGAGAAACAATATGTTATACTGGGAAAAGCACTTGAAGAATATGCTGATGTTTACATTCATAAGCCAACACTTGGTTTATATGTTGATGATGCCATGAAGTTTGTTGACATTCAAAACAAATTGTTTTTTCAATATACCACTAGAGTAAACAAGTGCATTGGTTTTAATGGGCCCTTGAATTCTTTCGCTTTTGCAAACTTCCAAGATCTTATCGATAAGGCGATCCCTTCAACTGTTTCTTTTGGTAAAGTTCACAACGTTTATTTCACATTTTACCTCTTATAATATTTGTATATTATTTGTCCATCCTAACACTAATTATATACTAACATCTTACATAATGTATATTATAGATGTGATCGGTAATGTTTTTCAATGCTATCCACTGGAACCTGCAACCCAAAAACTTGATAAAAGGATTACATTGAAATTGGAAGATTTAGAGTATGTTTCTTTTAAAACTTGTGTGTTATTAGTTTAAAAATTGTTGTTTTAATTCATATACATTTAGGGGACGACAAGTGTTGGCTACTTTGTGGGGAGATTACGCTGAACAAATTGATTCCTATGTATCCAAACATCGGGTGAATTTTGTAATGATTATTCAATGTGCTAGGTGGAAGGATTACCGAGGTCCTTTTATTAATACAATGTTCTATCTTTACCATTTTCAATGTTTATATGATTTAATCCAATATTTTTTCATTTTCTTTTCAGGGCGTGTATATGTGAATAACACATATTTAGCAACAAAGCTATTCATTGATGAGCAAGTTGAAGAAATTATTGATTTCAAAAAAAAGTTTGATTACGTTTCAATCAAGTCCTTTATATATTACTATTAAACTAAATATATTTTTTATTGATATTATACTTACACTTTATTTGTAAACAGGTTTAATGAAAAAAAAGTGGATCGGCTTCTTCATGTTCTCGTGCTACAACGTCTTCTATCATGTATACTGTACATGATGACTTTCTGAAAAATACTAAATTCTACCAGATTTCCATGATCCATGAATTAGATGAGGTATATTTACATTATTAAATCTTAAATTAGTGATGCTTAATTTTCCTGATTCAACATCATTGGTTATTACTAATAATAGGGGAGTTATGCCATCATTCTTGGAACAATTAAGATGTTTGAAGATAATCAACAATGGTACTACCCGGCTTGCAAGAACTGTAAGAGAAAGGTTCATAAAATGCCCATTGAACAGGCCAATGTTTTGGACCATGTAGCTGAGAATGAATCTTGGGTATGTACACAGGAGAAGTGCAAAAAACAAGTCATAGTTGCTGAACCAAGGTATAATAAGAAATTTAATATTCTTTCATTATTGTATTTATCTAATTTGTATGGTTTTTATTTGTTTTTTAAATACCTTAGTTTTATGCTCAAAATTCGAGTACAAGGCTTGGTGGGAGTAGTGACACTTACTCTGTTTGATCGGGATGTTAGAAGTATTCTAAAAATTTCAGCATCAGATTTGATAGAAAAGTATGAAAAGGTATATATTATAAAATCCATTATATAAAATTCCTAATTTATTCTAATCATTTCTACATTTTAAGTCTAATTTTGTTTCATTTACTTTTTTTTAGATGGGTGAGACTGTTGCTTTTCCTGTTGAGATCAATGAACTTATTGGTAGAAAAATGGCTTTCAAAATTATAGTTAGAGGCTTTACCTCTGGAAGAAAATACATCTGTAGTTACAACATATCAAAGATAAGTGATGATGTTGACATAATTTCTGCGCTCGAGAAGCTTAAAAAGCAAACCACATTGAACAGGTTTAACTACAAATAAGTCTTAATCTGTCTACAAATTATGTTTTATATACTTGATATTTACCAATCTAAATTACACTTTACAAACTGTTATATATAGAACACTGAAACTGAGTCTGTTAATGTCGTGGTCTCAGATTTCAACTCTCAGGATACAATTGGTTTTAAGGTATAATTTCCTACTTTTTTTTCTTTTCACTCCTTTTACATTACTCCTATGTCAATCAGTAACATATGTCAATTCTTGCATTTAAGGGTTCTGCTTCCTTCGTTGCTGATAATACTCCTATCTCTACTTTTCCAAATACCATTTCAATGAGTCCATCAACCAACCATGACACCACTAGCCTGCTTTCACCAACTACCAATGTGAAACGTAAACTTGTAGATGTTTACGATCTTGAAGATACTGTTTGTGAGTCATCAACAAAACCTTCTAAAAAATCCATTGGAATCAAGGAAACTGTCGTGTCCACCCAACTATTGATTCCTAAAGTCGAGAAGTGAGATCTTATGAACGTTTCAAACAATTTTCAGTTTTTCGTTTTTTATATATCATTCCAGTCGAACATCAATTTTTAGGTTTTATGGTTTGTCAAGAATACTTTCGTTGTTGGTTTCACAAATTCTGTTTTCTTTCGTTTTATGTTAAGAATGGATTTTGAGTTCTTTATTAAATGTTGTCATTTATTTAGTTTTAAATTGTTATTTATTACATCTTATTATTTTTTAAAACTTTGAATTAAATTGATTCATCAATGTACATATATTTTTTTTATAATAGAAACATGCAACATTTTAATTATAACAAGTTACTTAAATTAGTAAACGTACAATAGTATTACATAAACTTAATGAAAACTAAAAGTTTGATAAACAGTTAAACACGTATGTAACCAATGTCATGTCATCACATAACCTGGTCCCAATTATAAAATTATATGTTGTGGCAATCCACCAAAAGTGAAATGTGAGTAATATTTGACCCTATTTTGTTTTGGGTCTCCCTTATTATAAGCATGTTAAAATAATAGGGTAGACGTTTCGCAGTTTCACACAACACTAATTTAGGATAAAGGAAAGCAATAAGCGACATACATCAACTTATACTAAGCAGTCCCACGCTTAGTTTCAAGTAAACAGCTTTCATACGGATGTTGTGGTTTAACATGGTGGCATGAGGAAGCTTTGACTTTTTCCAGTAGTCTTCTGGTGAATATTCCACATGTAAATGTCTTAGAATGCCACATGGAATGCATATAAATTGTTCAATAAGACACGTATATGTAATGGTTATGTTTATGTTTCCTCAATTAAGTCCTTATACAGAGCAACAAAGATACGTTTGCCAACTGATTAGCCTTCAATCACGGTGGATTGAAGGATTCGATTTCAAAATCATATCGCTTTCTTTTTAACCAAATCTTCTCTGTGTATGGACTCACAATGTACTTATATGGAATGTTAACTGGATTTCTACTTAGAATCGCATCAATCATGTGTGATCCTTCGTCTTTTACTTATAGCAGGTAATAATTTCCAAAAATTTCTTTCAATTACATCTATATACATAATACATTTATGAGTCGTTTCCTTTCAATTTCGTTTATACATGCACGAGTCGTCTTCTTCACGCTGGAATCAACTGTCTTGAAGAATCTGCATTACCATCCCAACAACTACATAAGGTTAGTATTATGCCTATTTATATATGCACGATGCATTTCCTTTTATTTTCAATTATCTTCTTTTTTTAACACATTGTAACAAGGCCATTTGTAATCAGTCCGCCAACTGTTCGATGTAATGCCAATTTTAATTTCTTTGTTTGAAATATAAAAATATGATTGTAAATAATATTAAATAGTATTTTGTTACAAGAATTATGAAGATACCTTAGTAACAGCTTCACCAAGTTTTTTACTTGGTGATTTAGCACCACTTTTATCAACAGAAGCAGCTGCAGAAGAACCCTTATGTGCTGAAGTACCATTTTTGCCCTCAACATCTACCTTCTTACCGTTTTTTCTTACAGAGGTAGTGGAGTCACTTTCTTTTTGTTTTTTATTCAAGTCTTCACCCTTTGCCTCTTTAGTATTTAAAAGATGTGTACCAATGACTGTAAATATAACCATATGTTAACATATCTGTGCTTTCCCTTTTATTATTAAATGTATTCTCCATGTAAATCCCTCTGTTATGTATATGCGTTTTATCATTATTAAATGTATTTCCACATATGATTATATTTGAATATGTATACCAGAATGATTGTAAATATAACTATACAGACACTAAAAAGGAGGAAAATGGTCAAAATGGTCATTTTTTATAGTTCATTTTGTTACAAGAATTATGAAGATACCTTATTAACAGCTTCACCATGTTTTTTACTTGATGATTTAGCACCATGTTTATCACCAGAAACAGCTGCAGCAGAACCCTTATGTGCTGAAGTACCATTTTTGCCCTCAACATCTACCTTCTTACCGCTTTTTCTTACAGGGGTAGTGGAGTCACTTTCTTTCTGGTTTTTATTCAAGTCTTCACCATTTGCTTCTTTAGTATTCTTCCGTTTCTTTGGCCCTTCAGAATCAGAAAAATGGTCATTTTTTTAGTTCATTTTGTAGTCCAGTCTCTGAACATGTCTCTTTGCATTTATAGGGGCAGAATCGTCATTTTCCATATTTGTAAATAATATTAAATAGTATTTTGTTACAAGAATTATGAAGATACCTTAGTGACAGCGTCACCATGTTTTTTACTTGATGATTTAGCACCATGTTTATCACCAGAAGCAGCTGCAGAAGAACCCTTATGTGCTGAAGTACCATTTTTGCCCTCAACATCTACCTTCTTACCGCTTTTTCTTACAGGGGTAGTGGAGTCACTTTCTTTCTGTTTTTTATTCAAGTCTTCACCATTTGCTTCTTTAGTATTCTTCCGTTTCTTTGGCCCTTCAGAATCAGAAAAATGGTCATTTTTTTATAGTTCATTTTGTAGTGCGATCTCTGAACATGTCTCCTTGCAGTTATAGGGGCGGAATCGTCATTTTCCATATTTGTTTTCAAGATTTCTTCATCTTTACGTAAACCCTTTTTTTATATTTAAGATAAGTAATGTTTAATATTCAAATTTGTTTGATAAAATAAAACTGTGAAATTTTTTTTGAATTCGTTGTTAAGCAAAAAAAAATCAAAAGTAAAAGAAGTAAATTAACTTTCTATAAGAATCACTATAGTTTGTTTTTTTTTATTTCATTTTTTTTCCTTGTTTAACTACCGAAATCTATTTTTTTTTTCCAATTAACTACATAAGGTTTGTCTTCATGTACAGTCATTTTTTATATAATCCATTAATGTATATTAAATTTAAATATATAAATATAAATTCTTTATAATAAGTCCACGTCCATTTATTTTTATTAAATATAAGCTTCAAAAGATGTTAAATTAACAATTTTTTTATTAACAATTTTTTTACACGTACGTATTTTTATAATGTGTCAATTTTACTAATTCATAATATATACTATGAATTTATATAACATTGGTTTATTATAGTTTTATTACAGGATCTATTGTTTTTTATGATATAAACATCGTATGGATTCAAATCATTCTAAAGACCGGTGCAAACAAAGAAAGTTAAATTTGGATAAAAAAAAATCCGATGTCGTGACAACCACTTCAATTGGTAATTATTTTTCAACGTGTCCATTTTGTTTTATTATCATTACTCTTTTATTTAATTTAATTTATAAAAATATTGATTAAGTCTTATTCAAATTTGTATTACACATAATCAATAAATTATATTATTAATCCGGTAGAGTATTATATATTAAATGTTGTTTTTCCTTATAAAAATAACTACTTTACCGTATATAACATATCATTATCAAAATCTAACCACTTCATTTTATTCTATATATCTTGCAGGTAACAATAAAAATATAAATTCAAATATTTCAGATGGATATCAGCATACAAGTTTTCAATCTATTTTGACATATCCTTTTAATATTACAAGTTCATTATCCAATGATGCTAAAGATAAAAGAAAACTTAGAAAGTTATATTTGGATAACAAAAAATGTAAAGATAAAACCACCACGGCAAATGGTATATTTTTTTTTCTATCATGCATTTATAATTACTTTGTTACCAGAGTATTGTTTTTACATAAAAATTTTAATTTTGTTGATTAGTTTTTATTTTCTATTAATCGTTTGCGACATAAATAATGCATATTCCCTTATAACATTCTTAGTATTTCACAAGTAACAATTTTTCCGATCAACATTGTTTTGATTTTTTAATATTTTATTTAAATAAATTTCTTATATTTCGTTTTCGATGAATTAAATATGCATATATTTTTTTTCTTCGTATATATGTTAATTATAAATGTTTTGAGGGTCTTAATAACTTTTTTCTTATATATTTTTCTCAGTGCTTACTAATGACATTAGCAAAAGTCAAACCATGTCATCAACCAACTTCAATAATGTTGCCGGGGACAATCAAAATGTCAACCCAAACATTTATAAAGATAAACAAAACAAATAAAAGATTATTTGGATAATAGAAGATCCATTCAGACTTGCACCACACCAATCGGTAATATGCTATATATTACATAATTTATCTTTCATCCATATAATGTATAATTAATTGTGTAATAATATATTCATTTGTTTATTATGTTTGTTTTATTTTTTTGTAATAATTAAAATATTTTTATTTCATAGATTATATGGAGTGTGCTCAACAATGTTTCAAATCTACTTCCAATTATACGACAAGAACTCCGTTATTTAACATTACCAATGGTATATCGAATAACTTTTCATATCAGTTATCCTACTATATAAGTTACATAAAATAATATCTATGCATTGTATACAATTTAAATCATACTATTATCCTTTTTATTTCAAAATTCAATACTGACATTTATACTTTTAGTATATGGACACAAATCATTTATCCTTATCAACATCTAACCACTTCAAATTATTCTATATATCTTGCAGGTAACAATGAAAATATAAATTCAAATATTTCAGGTGGATATCAGCATACAACTTTTCAATCTACTTTGGATGTTAATATTACAAGTTCCTTATCCAATGATGCTAAAGATAAAAGAAAACTTAGAAAGTTATATTTGGATAACAAAAAATGTAAAGATATGACCACCACGCCAAATGGTATATTTTTTTTCTATCATTCTTTTATAATTAGTTTGCTACGAGAGTATTCTTTTTACATAATATTTTTAATTTTGTTTATTAGTTTTTATTTTGTGTTAACCTTTTGCGACATAAATAATGCATATTTCCTTATAACACTCTTAGTATTTCACAAGTAATGGTCATAACGATCAACATTGTTTTCATTTTTTAATATTTTATTTAAACAAATTTCTTATATTTCGTTTTCGATGATATAAGTATGCATATATTTTTTTTCTTCCTATATATGTTAACTTATAAATATTCTGAGGGTTATAATAACTTTTTTCTTATATAATTTTCTCAGTGCTTACTAATGACAGTAGCAAATGTCAAACCTTGTCATCAAGCAAGTTCAATAATGTTACCGGTGACAATCAAAATGTCAACCCAAACGTTTATAAAGATAAGCGAAAACAAAGAAAAAAATATTTGGATAATAGAAGATCCATTCAGACTTGCACCACACCAAACGGTAATATGCTATATATTATATAATTTATTTCTCATCCATCTAATGTATAATTATTTGTCTAATAATAAATTCCAATGTTTATTATGTTTATTTTATTTTTTATATCAATTAAAATATTTTTATTTCGTAGCGTGTATGGAGTATGCTCAGCAAAGTTTCAAATCTACTTCCAATTATACGACAACAACACCGTTATCTAACATTACCAATGATATATCTAATTTCTTTTCACATCAGTTTTCCTACTATATAAGTTACAAAAAATATTATGTATGTATTTTATACAATTTAAATCATACTATTATCATTTTTATTTCAAAATTCAATACTAACATTTATACTTTCAGTGTCAGGAAATAGACAATATTCTATATTGTCTAATGATATGACAGCCACATCTTCGTTAGCAGTCACTCGAGATAATTCTATCAGTTTATCTTTGAGAAACAAAAAGTCAAAAAGGAAAATCTCAAATATATCTCATATACCCATAGACTTAACATCAGATGAACACTTAAATGTTCGACATAATCATGTTCAATTGATTTCGGGTATCTCAAAAGGTAACACTAATGATTATATTAAACTATTATTCATTTCAAGAATAATATATGTATATCTTTAATCAAGTTTTTTTAAACAGATTATTTCGACCATGGTGATCAGAGTTTTGTGTGTACGAGTTGTCATGCAAAATTATGGCAAAATGAAGCCCTTAAAGGCAATAAAGATGGCAACAAAACATCTTTTTCAATGTGTTGTGGTAACGGAAAGGTCGAGCTTCCTGAATTAAAAGAAGCACCTGAAGATTACCAAAATCTTTATCGTTCTGTTCATCCCAAAGGGAAACATTTTTTGAACAACATTCGTCTGTTCAATTCGATGTTTTCATTTACATCGATGGGTGGAAAAGTTGATTCTTCCGTTAACAAAGGCAAAGGTCCATATATTTTCAGACTTAGTGGTCAAAATTACCATTGTATGGGCAGCCTTCTACCTATAGATGGATCAAAACCAAAGTTCTCTCAACTATACATATATGATACTGACAACGAACTTTCAAATAGACAACACGCTTTCAGGTATATTTCATGTTTATTTTTTATAACAATCCTTTTTTTTCATTATACTTATTTACCTACTAAATATTAAATATAATCGTCATTATTAACAGTACACAAAAAGATGGGTGCAATTCAACTTCTCAGCAACTTGATATCGAAATCATAAGATTTTTGAAGGTTATGTTGGATTCAACAAATGAGTTGGTTAAGTGTTATAGAATGGCAAGAGATTGTTTTAATGCAAGTCCTAATATAGATCTAAAGTTACGTCTTATAGGAAGAAGACAACATGATGGAAGGACATATAACCTACCTACCGCTTCTGAGGTTGCTGCTTTAATTGTTGGTGACATTGGTAATTCAATTGATAATAGAGATATCATCGTAAAAACTAAATCAGGCAGTCTACAACGTATAAATGAATTGCATCCTGCTTACCTTGCTCTTCAATACCCACTGCTCTTTCCTTATGGGGATGATGGATATCGAGTTGACATCCCTCATAGAGGTGTTACGTGTTCAACGAATAACAAACGATGTAACTGTACAATGAGAGAATTCTTTTCTTATAGGATTCAAGACAGAGTTAATATTTTCTCATTAATTCTGAATTCAAGAAGGCTTTTTCAACAATTTCTGGTTGATGCTTATACGATGATTGAAAGCGAGAGGCTGTATTACATACGAAACCAAAAAAAGTTCTTCGATGCGAGTCCTATGAAACATTACGCAGCGTGAAAAACAATGGAAATACAGATATTTCGAATATTGGACAGCGTGTGATATTGCCTTCTTCTTTTACTGGTGGTGCACGCTACATGATGCAAAACTATTTAGATGCCATGTCACTTTGTAAGTGGTTTGGCTACCCAGATTATTTCATAACTGTAACATGCAATCCAAAGTGGCCCGAGATTCAAAGGTTTATTGCTGACACAAACCTCAAACCCGAAGACAGACCAGATATCCTATCTAGGTTGTTCAAAATGAAGCTAGATTCATTGATTAAAGACTTAAAGAAAAATTCATTATTGGGTTCGGTCGAAGCAGGTAATTTATATTAATAATGCATTGTTAAAGTGTTTTTATATATTTTGTTAATATGTTTTTTTATTTTTTTCAAAATCTTATAATACGTCTCTATGTAAATAAATTGTCAGCTGTTTATACGGTGGAGTTTCAAAAGCGCGGCCTACCTCATGCTCATATATGTCTATTCATGCACTCTGATTACAAGCTCCCAACCGTTGAACATATTGATCGTGTTATTTCTGCTGAAATTCCAAACAAAGACGACGATCCAGAATTGTATGCACTTGTCAGCGAGTTCATGATGCATGGTCCTTGTGGTAGTGATAATCCTAAATGCCCATGCATGATTGATAACAAGTGTTCAAAAAACTTCCCAAAGACATTCACAGAGCATACTTCGGTTGATGAAAATGGTTATCCAATATATAAGAGACGTAATGATGGATCTTTTGTTGAAAAGTCTGGTGTTAAGTTAGACAATAGAAGTGTGGTTCCATATCACAAACTGCTTTTGAAAAGATACCAAGCTCACATTAATGTTGAGTGGTGCAATCAGGGTGCTTCCATCAAATATTTGTTCAAATATATTAACAAGGGTCCTGATAGGGCTACTGTTGCGGTTGTACCAAACAACAACGCAGATGATAATGACGATGTAGTTGACGAAATAAAAAACTACTACGATTGTAGATATTTGTCTGCATGTGAAGCTTCGTGGCGTATATTCAAATTTGATGTTCATTTCAGGACTCCTTCTGTTGTGAGGCTTCCTTTTCATCTTCCTGGACAACAAAATGTTGTATACGGTGCTGACGATGATATTGAAGATGTCCTCAATAAACAGTCTGTTTCTTCTTCGATGTTCTTAGCTTGGATGGAGTGTAATGAACATAATAAGGAAGCACGTAAGCTTTCTTATGTTGAATTTCCTACCAAGTTTGTTTGGAAATTGAAGGATCGTTGTTGGAAGCCAAGAGAAAAAGGATTTTCTATCGGTCGAATTCACACCGTCTCTCCTAATGTTGGTGAAGCATATTTTTTGAGAATCCTTTTAAATAAAGTCAAAGGTCCGAAATGTTTTGCAGACATTCGTACGGTTAATGGACATGTGTGTGCTACTTTTAGAGAGGCGTGTTATGCTCTTGGACTTTTGGAAGATGATAGGGAATATATTGATGCAATTGAGGAAGCAAGTCATTCAGGTTCTGGATATTATTTGCGTTATTTATTTGCAACTATGCTGAAGTCTAATAGTTTGTCGAGACCGTACTTTGTCTGGGAAAAAACTTGGCAATACTTATCAGATGGAATTCTCTACAATCAACAACTAAGATTAAAGGCACCAGGTAATATGTTATTTTTCATTATTTAAATTAGTGTTTTACTTAATAATTCTTACATAATATATTATATTTATTGAATAAAATTTATTATATATTTTTATATATTTAACTAAAACTTATTAACCTTATTATTATCGTTAAGTTTTAATTTTATATAGTTATATATCTATAAAAATTAACTTGCAAATTTCTACAGGTTTATCGCTTGATGAGGATCAAGTTAAGAACTTGACACTTTATGAGATTGAAAAAATTTTACTCCAAAACAATTCAAGCCTCAAAGATTTTGATGGGATGCCTTACCCTGATCATGAGTCTATATCTTCTTCAAATAATCGATTGATTACGGAGGAGCTAGATTTTGACAAATCGATTACGGAGGAGCTAGATTTTGACAGGACGACTCTATTACAAGAGTTTTATCAGCTACTTGGTTCATTAACAGATGAACAAAGAGGTGTTTTCGACGATATTATCACAAATGTTAAAAAAAAGAAAGGAGGTGTCTTTTTTGTTTACGGTTACGGAGGTACAGGGAAAACATTTCTCTGGAAAACATTATCCGCTGCTTTAAGATCGGAGGGTGAAATCGTGTTAAATGTTGCTTCAAGTGGTATTGCTTCCTTATTATTGACAGGAGGTAGGACAGCGCACTCTCGATTTATAATCCCTTTAAATCTTACCGAGGATTCGTTTTGTTCTATAACGCCGGAAAGTGATGTTGCTGAATTGTTAAAAAAAACATCATTGATTATATGGGACGAGGCACCCATGATTCATAAGCATGCATTTGAAGCTTTGGATAGATCTTTGAAGGATATATTGGGTTGTCATCTTCGTAGCAACTCAAAATTGCCATTTGGAGGAAAAGCAATTGTTTTTGGAGGTGATTTTAGACAAATTCTACCTGTTGTTCCTAATGGAAGTAGACAAGACATCGTCAATGCTTCAATAAGTTCCTCCTATATTTGGTCAAATTGCAAGGTCTTAAGATTAACAAAAAACATGAGGTTAAGTCTTCATACATCTAATATTGAAGAAACAACCACATTTGCAAACTGGATTTTGAATATAGGTGAAGGAAAGGTTGGTGGCTTAAACGACGGCGAGGCAATTGTTGATATACCAGATGATATTCTCATTACAGATTCATCGGATCCTATTGGTTCATTAATTACATTTGTCTATCCTTCTATTGTTGAAAATGCCAATAATCCGATGTTTTTTCAAGAAAGAGCAATCCTTGCACCGAAAAATGAAGTTGTTCAAGAAATAAACAATCGTTTGTTAAAATTATTTCCTGGAGATGAAAAAGAATACTTAAGTTCAGACAGTCTTTGTCAATCGGAGTTTGTACACGATGACTTTGACGAATCTTTATACTCTCCTGATGTTCTAAACGGCCTTAGACCTTCAGGTATGCCAATTCATAAATTGGTATTAAAAGTCGGTGTTCCAGTTATGTTATTGAAGAATATTGACCAGAAATACGGTTTGTGTAATGGAACAAGGCTGCGAGTTATAGCATTGGGTAAGCGTGTTATAGAAGCAGAGATTATTTCTGGAAGTAATATAGGAAAACGTACGTTTATTCCAAGAATGTCACTGACCCCGTCGGATAAAAGGATTCCTTTCACATTTCAGCGAAGACAGTTTCCACTTGCTGTATGCTTTGCGATGACAATAAACAAAAGTCAAGGACAGTCGCTATCAAAGGTTGGTTTGTTTTTGAGACAACCAGTGTTTACTCATGGACAGTTGTATGTTGCATTGTCTAGAGTTAAAAGCAGAGACGAATTGAAAATATTAATTTTAGACAACGAAGGAAACCCTACCAATAAGACATCTAATGTTGTATTTAAAGAAGTATTTGGAAATTTGTGATTTGTAAAAATTATTTAGAATATTTCATTAATGATTTTTTTTTTGTATTTTGGGTTCAATTACATACTTATTCAATAAACTCACTCTTCACTTATATGTGTTGTATTATTTTAATAATTCGTTGATGTTCAAAATTTTATATTATTTATTTCAAGAAACCCGTGTAACACACGGGTATTACACCTAGTTAGGAATATATGATAAAAGTATTTTAAGAAAAAAGATGTAGTTGAAAACTAAAACCTAATTCGTAAAATACTTATTTTAAATGGTTAAGATTTAACGTGATTCAACGGATGGTTTGGACTCAGTGCAAACATAAGAATATATAATGAAGGTATTTTGTAAACGAATGTTCAAATTACTTACATTTACCTTTTGATAGTACTTTTGAAAAAACAATATTGTTTTGTAACAAAAATATCAAATAGTTCATTATCCATTGACGATACTTCCCTTAAAAAAATTAAGATATAATTGCCAAAATTATTATATTCTTTCTTTTCTACGTCCCACACGAGCCCCAAAGGCGTCTTTGATTTGAACAACGATTCAACATGAACCACACAACGATACAAACCATGAAAAAAGGTCAACAAGTCTAACCAGTCATTTTAAATTGTGTTTTAAACATTTCATCGATTTAGCTATTTAGTTATTGAACTTTATCCTTGAAACAATTATAATTGACTTATAGAACACTTGTAATATATATAAACCTTTGCTTTGAAAGAATTCTTTCCATATATTATGTTGATTTTTTTTAACCTTACATTGTAATATAAAATTTTCCTTTGCAATATATAGACCTCTCCTTTGAAAAAGAAATCAATTAAAAAGAATCATCTTTAAAGAAGATCATCAGATAAAATTAAATTATAGTGCATGAAATTTACTTCCAAAAGATAACTCTTTCGATCATTCATGTAATTAAAAAAGAGTGTGAAAGTATAATCACATTTATATATTTTTGCCTAATTATACTGTGGGAGTGTTTGACGACAATCTTTTGAGTGCATTTAAAAGCTTTTAAAAAACTTACATTACAAAAGAAATTGTTTGGAAATACGAGCTTAAAGTTTTATATTAAAACAAAAGAAAACTTACAATCAAAGCTATTTGAAGTTTGAAGGGAGTGGTGTCATTGAAACGACATTTCACCTCATTTTGCTACACTCCAATACCACACACAAGGAATTGTATACATAGAGAGAGAGAGAGAGAGAGAGAGAGAGAGAGAGAGAGAGGATGGCAAGAAAGTGTCGCACAACCCAAACCGCATACTAAAGGCGGTGTTTACTGCAGTAAAACATGTCACATACGCTCAAACTCATTCTTACCACACTCTACTCCCTATAGTCTAAACATGTCACATAGGCTCGAACTCATTTTTACCAACTCTATAATTAGCCCATTTGACAAAGGTTTAGCATTTTAGATTGGAAGTTCTGAGTTTTAATCTAAACATCGGTGAATTTTACTAACTTGATGATACCAACTTCTAACCACTAACTAACTTGATGATACCAACTTCTAAACATTAAAGGTTGTTAAATATTTAAAAGGACAAAAATACCATTTTTCCACCACCACTACCACCCACTTGCCACCATCATCCTTGCCACCACTTATAGACACCATTTTAGGGGAGATTCTATTTCTATTTCTTTTTAATTTTCTTTCGTTATGGCAAACCAAAAAATCATAGACACCATTTCATTTCTTCCAAGAAACGAATAAACCATCCCTTTAAATTCTCATAACAGAGGGGATACGCCACCTTCATCAATAATCAACACCACCAACCACCATCTCACCATTATCACTATTGCCAATCACAGCTACACTACTTGCCACTTCACTTCGCTCTGGATAACAACTACACAAAAACTAATTCAAACACCATTTGACCTAATATAACTATCATAAGAAATATATCGATCTAGATTATGTACGAAAATAAATATTCAAAGTAAAAACACACAAAAAAGACACGATTATTCGATGACATAATCACTCATTCGAGATAAGTTTCATCTTTGTAATTATCGTAACTCCAATGTCCATCCATGACATCATGCATGATTATCATGTTATCTTTAGCACCCAATAACCAAGACATAACTCTTATTAACTCCTCCATCAACACCCAAAATCAATCACAAAGGAACACATAGATTGGACAAACTAATTCATAATGCATTGGCTTTTCATTATATCCTTCAACTATGTGGATTAATATAACCAAAAGGCTTGATTTTTCACAGGTATTCTAAGAAATTAGGAAAAGAAATAAGAAATTACATATATAGTGGCTAAGCGAACATTCTACGCAAAAGAGATTTCCAAAAGCTTCATATAACCGTCAACTGGGGTGCTTTACTCGTCGCACACATATATTCCATCATTCCTTCATATAACCATTGACCATTGTTGTTCGGGTATATTTTTCATGTTTTGGGTTTTTCTGGTCGGGTTAGTAGGTTAATTTTTGTCTGAAAAATATAATTGATACCCGAACCAAATTGCATTTCAGGTATTTGGGTTTCAGGTTAGATCGGGTATTTATAAATATACCCGATTTTGTAACAAACCTTAAAAAAATATATATACTTATGATATAAAAGAATATACATGGTTGTAAAGCATTTAAAAAAGAACGCATATGGCTTTGATATAAAAATGACGGGGTTTTGACGGTGAAAATGAGTTTGTTTTTGTATTTAATCTTAAGAAATATCTTTATGAGTCGAAGTGACAAAGGCTCAAAGGACAAGTATTTGAATATGAAATTAATTTGTTTTCACAATAAACAGATTTGAAAAGAATTAAAGTGACAAAAGCTCAAATATTAAGTAGGTGAAGATAAAATATGAAATCAAGTGTGAGAATTGCGAAGTTATTATTGGCTGAAAGTGAAAATATCCCAAAAAACAAGTAGCTGAAAGAAAAAAATAGAATCAATTTGTTTCTTTAATCTTAAAAATTCAAAAGTGACAAATTAGAGTATTTGGAGTTGATGTCTCTGAAGCTATAATACTGATTTGGATAATTTATGATAAACTTATGTTCCTCGAAAGCTACCGGACCCTCTCTAAGATCGAGAAAGTTATGATTTTGTATAAAAAAAAAGATCGGGTATTCGGGTATTCTTAAATTTTTTTATGCCTAACTTATACCCGAACCAATTAGATATCGGGTTGACCGATTATTCAATTTTTCAAACCCGATTTACCCGCCTGATCTACCCGAATTGAAAATGGGTCGATTGGTTTATTGGGTATCGATTATTTTCAAATGGCCTATTTGGACGCCGCTAGAAGCCTTCGGCAACCAATACCATCACATTCACCACCGTCAGAAGGAGATCTGAAGACGTGACAGAAGGAGATCTGGCTTATCAGTCACTTCTCTTCTTCTCGCCGCCCTATTTGATCAACTGAGACGTCCGGTCATCGACTGCATCTTCTCCCTCCTCGCTCCTCCCTCCTCGCCATCTACATGAATAGATTTTGTGAAATCGTCCCTGTAACGGTGTAACGGTGGTGCAGGTGGCCGACACCACCATCGGTTCTGTAAAGGGTTTAGGGTGACGGTGGTTCTCTTTACTCCCTTCTTGACACTGTGGAGGTGGTTGCTTCATGGCACTGTGGTGGATCCGTGGTGATAGCTTCATAGTACTGTGGCGGTGGTGGCTTCAGGGTTGCGGTGGTAGCATCTTTGGAAGCTTCCGGTTTTTAGTAGCGGTTTTCAGTCGACGGATGAAAAGGTATTTTCAGGGGAGGTGGTGTTTCCGGCGAGATATGACGCGAACGATGGTGGTGGTGGTGATTGTTTATTGTTGCTCTGATGAAGCTTCCAATGGGAGGGGTTCGAGGCGGTGGTGATGGCTCAATGAGAAAGAAGTACATGAGAAGTGCAGGGCGTAGGGTTTTCGGTTGGTCCCATTTGAAGTTTATTTAATTATTTATATTTATTAATAATAAACAAATAATATAAAAAACTGAAAAAGATAAAAACAAAGGACAATATAGTTTTTTTACCTCTACGAATGAAAAACAAAATAAAATTAACAAACAAACAAAAAAAAAAAAAAAAAAACCAAAAAAAAAAACAAAAAACAAAAAAACAAAAAAACAAACAAACGCATGGACCAAACGTAAAACTGTTAGCAATCCATAGGAACCATCTTTTCTTTTTTTATCATCTAGATCTGTTTGTTGCGAAATTGATCGTAAGAATATCATGTCAGACACTTAGATGAAACATTTTGTCAAGCACATTATATATGTAAAGTTTAGTAACAAACCTCTTTCTCTTTTTGTTCTTTTTCAAACCAGTGAAAATAGGTTCAAGGCTACAGAAATTGCATGTCAAGCATAGCCTTGATTATAATAATACAAAAAGAAAAAGGGTTTAACATATGATATACTTACCTACATATACATACATACATTTCCCATCTCATGTGTACGCTTATGAAGGACAAATATGACTGGAATTCAATATTTTCACCGTTTACGAAGACATGGAATTAGGGTTAGATACAAGAAATAATTATGTACTTATGTTATTTTATTTATTATATCCTACTACTTCCATTTGAATATTACATATCTATCCAATTATAGCAACATCATATCGATACGATTCAAATTTTACATTTTTCGTCCGGTGTTTAATGTTTGTTTTTCGATCGCTAAATTATTTAGAAAGCTCATTTTTACCGCCAAAATTTATTTTTAAATGATTTTTGTACATAAAATGGATTAATTAAGTTGAATTGTGTGCAAAGGATAAAAGAAGAGTATTTGATGTAATTTACCTTTAAATAAATTTTGAGTCTAAAATGGTTGAATATGAAAATTTGTATGTAAAGTAAATAACTTTAGCGTTCTTGGCAGGAAAATTTCCGAAAAATTCCAAAGTTTGACAAAGTTATGAGTTAATCCCAAATTCAAGACTCAAGTAGATATCAAATTATGTATTTAGTTGCTTAGGTAAATGAACAATACATGTTGCTGGAATATTGAACAGCAAAGGGAGCCCAAATTTATCTTAATTTAGCAGCCCATCAAATTGCAAGATAGAGAGGCCCATACAATTCAAAGCCTAATAGCAATGCGATCTATGAAATATAATAATAATAATAATAATAATAATAATAATAATAATAATAATAAACACGACCATCTTCTCCATAACACTGACCATCTCCATCAGCCACTGCCCTTGATCTCATCACGCTATACCAACACCCACAATATGACAATATCATAACTTGAGTTACAAATTATCATTTGAAAAATCAATGTTAATCCCATATTTTTCGTATCTGAGTTAAAATCTTGAACAATTTAAATTACGCATCTTATTTTTGGGTAATTTTGGGGCACTTGTTGATCCAACTTACTATAGGAAAATTGTTTGCGACCCCAAATTTGGTACGAAGTTGGTTTGATTAGAATAATTATGAACACTCAACGGGCAATCGCATGTTGAAGTTGCTAAAAGAATCATGTGATACCTAAAAGGGATCTAGGGCCATGGCTTATTTTATGCCTCAACTAACCAATGTGTTATTATATAATTCTTGAATAGTTACCAGGAGATTCAGATGACCAAAAACACACATTTAGCTACTTTTGGTCCTCGTAGAAGCAGTCGGTTATTGCATGTTCAACATGTAAAGTAGAGTATATTTCAGCAGATTCTAGTGCATGTCAAGCTATCTCTTAATTATATTTCTATTAGTATTTGACAAAGGGAGCCTATGAAGATCTATGTTGATAATGTTTCAACCATTATTCAACCAATGATCCATCTATACATGAACAAAGCAAACAAGAGAGGGCAGATACATTGTTTCTTTATGTTCTTCCTTGACGTCAATATAGATTTTTCATGGGCATCCTCTTCTTTCAAAAAAATAATAAAAAAAAAATAATAAAAAAAAAAATCCTGCCTCGTCTTTATTTATTTATTTATTTTTACAACAAAAACTTGTCTAAGAAATAGAAACATGCATATTATAATTTCTTAACAGGAAACCGGTTTTATAAATAAAATTATAGGACTTGACAAATTAACCTAAATATTATCAATCATAAGCAATAGACGGGTACCCGCCTCATTTGGTGAGAACCGGAATGGAACGGACGGTTCCTAAAAAGTTAGAACCGGAACCCGAACCAGTCTAGGTAGTTTTTAAATTTTTGGAACCGGTCCCGGAACCGACGGTTCCGGTTCCAAGAGCAGGTAACCCGGTTACATCTATTTTATTAACTTTTGTCAAAAAAAAAATCGTAATTTAATTCGGTCAAAATCGAATCAATTCGGATCAAAGACGAACAAAATCAGACTAATTTATTCTAAACCGGTCTAAATAACACACACATATTCATACGAAATACTATAATATATATATAAACCGGACGAATATATAGCGGATAGCGGTTCCGAAAAAATGAAAAACTGGAACCAAAACCGTTTAAGACGGTTCCGGTTCCAAAAACGGATACTCAAAGTTTTGATGGTCATCCCTAGATAATAATAGTAAAATATACATATTTCTCTAATAAGTTTAAAAACTCTAAAAAAATTATAAACTTAATTACGAGGAAATATGAAAAGTACGATAAGAAATTTATTGATAAGACCGATAAAATATTTAATTCATATAGGCAGGTTTTGCGGTGGTGGAAGTGAGAGGCGGCCGTAGTTGAATTTTGATTTAGGCGACGTCGTCATCAAATATTGTTGGTCACCAACCGTGGGACCCATCAAATCCTCTCAACCACTCAAACACAAGTTTCTCACCATTCATTGCTTGCTATGTAAACGTTTATTAACTAATTACAGTATTAATAAAATAAATAAAAGCTTTATTTAATAACTAATCACAACGTCTTAGGGCGTTATGCTGATGTGGCCGACGGAAAACAGCGTCACAACGTTGGAAACACCGCCTCAGGGGCACGTTTTTAGGCGTTATGGTAGTCGGCGTTACCATGACAACGGGACGAAACGTGGTTATTTGCTCGTTTGTGGCTTAAATTTGGAAGAAAACAGTCATAAAAATGAAAATTTTTATTTATTTTGTTTTTTTATTGTTATTTTTTACATTTTAACTCTACTATATAAATACACAATTTAACTCTCATTTTTATCTACACATTTACATCTCTTTCTCTCAAATTTTATTTTTTATACACAAAATATAATATGGATCAAAACTCTGACACTCATCATCCCAACACAAACACATTCGTTCCTCTTGGGTTTGCATAATATGATGCGTACGCGAACATCCTCAACTCGTAAAGCTCTCTGCAACTTTCATTTTCCGACAACTTTTTTAATTCTGCCTCACATCCACCACAATTCCCTACAACCATTCCACAAAACCTATTCAACACATTTACTACCATGCAACAAAATATCACACAACCACCACCCACGCAACAGACGGTTCCCGAGACGCAAGGGGGGGAGTAGGAAAAAAGCGACCAAAAAAGGGAGAGCAAAAAAGAAAGGGAAAACAGTCACGACGGAGCAACCGGTAGAAGAACCTCCAACTTGGTGGACCGTGGAGGAAGAATATGCGTTGGCGGTGTCGTGGTGTGAGACATCAAAACACCCAACTAAAGGAAACGATATGAGAAGAGTCACTTTTTGTGAAATTGTGATCCAAAAATTTCGCACAATCTTGAATAAGGATGACACATATCGCAATCACGATATGTTGAGTAGCAAGGGGACTCAAATAAGCAAGAAGTGCACCAAGTTCAATTTCATCTACAACAAACTTTCCACGCACAAGCAAAGTGTTGCGAACGATTTTGATGTGATTAGAGCGGCGAGGGAGCAATATCATGTCGAGACGGGTCACGTTTTTTAGTACGAAAAGATTTGGGAGATTGTTAAGGACGACCCAAAATGGCTTAAAACAAAAACATTTTCGGAACAATCAAAGAGGTCTCATGGTTCGGGTTCGGTTGACGTTTGTGACGGACGCACGGACATCGACTTCAACGCGGACACCGATGAGCTCCTGGACGACCTCAATGACATCGAAGAAATCTCCCTGCCTCAACGACCGGTGGGGCGCGACAAAACGAAACGTGCTCAACGACATGCAGAGGAAAGTGAAAGTCGGCTTTGAGAGCACTCGGAAATGAAAGAAAAATTCGACTCCCACACCGCAATCGCAAATAAAAGATATGAATTGCAACATGATTATTTTGATTTCCTTCGTCGAGAAGCTGAGCAAGATCGCATATCAAAGGATTTGACAATTCTAACGACTAGCGAGGAAAATATGCCACTGAGACGAGATGAAGTGCTTCGGAGAATGAAGGAAAAGATCGAGAGCAAATATTTGGACGACGAATAGTTTATCGGTTTTTAGTTTTTAAAATTTTTAGGACTATCGCGTGTTTTTTAGTTAATTGGTTTTTTTTTATGTAAAGTTTTTTTTAAAGTTTTAATGGTATGTTTAATTTAGTATTTAATGGAATTATGTTTTATTAATTTATATGTTTTTTATAAATATATGACATAAATAAAAAAATAAAACAAATTAGAAAAATAGAATTTAAAAACATCCAAAAAAAAATAAAAAAAAAAAGAAATAGAAAATGGTAGGTGTGATCCCATGTTATTTGG